CGAGAAAAATAACTATCAAAGTTAGATATATTATTTTTTTAAATACAAAAGTTTACACATCGTTTTTCAAGATTCTTTGTCAACGGATGCTCTAAACACACTCTTACTTTCTGTTTTAACTACCTTTTCGGATTTTCTGTTTTTGCGTACAAAATGTAAACAATGCATAGACTGTTGTAATGATATCACGAACAGAAAGTAGAACGGAGTGTTGTCAGATCGTTGTGAGCAAAGCGTCAACACATGAACTGTATTTTAATCTATTGTATTTGTATGCATATCTCTGCAATATTTTGGACACCAAATAACATTAATATTCAACCCAAGAATATAATATATAACGTTGAGTTATATGTCGTGTCCTCCCACTAACTTTGAACATGAAATAGTTCGTGATTTAATTTTTTTTTAAAGAAAACAGTTCCAAAATGTCTTTATAAACGTCCAAATGTATATAATTGCTGTTTTTAATTTGTATAACATATAACACAAATTTTGGTTGGATGACATCTCCCGTCAATTGCAGATACGCATTCATGGACAATAACGCTGCGCAATCCCTGTCTACTTTTATTTCAAAATATAGACGGTCGCAAATATCCGTTAAGGATGTTCGCTCCTCTTGTTTTTGAAATTTTTCAAGATATTCGGAATCCTCTGGTTTTATCCGTGTAGTGTCATTAACAAAATTTCTCAGCTAACTCCTACTTTTTTTCATAATTTTATTATATAGTTTAAATAGCCATATTTGAAAATGCAATAAAATCCTTGATATTTTTTCAGAATTTTTGAAAGAAAAAGGATGCCAATGTTAAATGTATGAAAAGTCTAGAGAGAATAATTTCCCGCTAAATATTTAATGGCTTATATCTCCAAAACAAGCACACGGATCCTTAATTTTTTTCTGCTTTTTTTAAAAAAGTTCCTTTATTTATACACTATCAATTTATAACAGTCTTTTAAAAAGCTTGTTATTTTGAAACAGAGTAGCGAATATCCTTAAGCTGACATCGCTACGCATCGTCATTTTAGCTTCACTTTTAACCTGGAAATTCACAACTGAAGCCGGTGTCGCTAACTCTCTACTGTTATCTTTATTCTAATGCAATATCGTTAGTTTTTGGTTCAACTACATCCATTATTCTAAGAACAAAAGTCTATTTTAACTCTGCTGAATTGTAGATTGTATTGGTCTTACTTGTGTTTTATTTAAAGGGAAGGCGGCTATACTAATGAGTATAAAAATTGAGTCCGACTCTAACTAAATAATACTGATCGTTCGTGCCTTATCTTGAGTATGAACCGTTCCTTACACTGCAGTCCTTATGGTATTTTCAATTTACATTATTTATGTGCCTGTCCCAAGTCAGAAGCCTATAGTTCAGAGGTGGTCGTTGGTTCATTTTTTTGTTATAAATTTGGCCGTTAGTTTTCTGGATTGAATTGTTTCATGTTTTTCATGTCGGGGTTGCCTATAATAACTTACATTGTCTCATTGGCAATCATAACACATATCCTTATTTTCATGAGGTGTGTTTGAGTTTGATAGTTGTAACATTTATGGTTTGTATTGATCTACTTTCGTTGCACTTCATTATTTTTCATCAAAATAATGGTATAGCTCAGTGTAGTCCAGAGGCGGATTAAAGGGGGGAGGAGGGGAGGGGAGGGGAGGGTTCCCGGGCCACCCGTTTGTGGAAAAAATTATATTGATTATTTAGGGAATCACTGAAGCATGACTAAGCGGGCCCCCTCTTATAGCAGTCCGTGCCCCCTCCCTCCTTTTTATGAAAATTTCTGGATCCGCCACTGTAGTCCCGATCTACTAGACACTTAGAGTATGACCGATACACCCGATGTTAAGAGACTTATGTTAGTGTTTTACATATAACTTCACATATGGCCTTATATTATGAGCACAAACCATACCGTATAGTCAGCTGGCTCCGACATGATAAGATGTTAAATAATTCATACGACAAAACCAACTGCCTGATTTATAACAAAACAATTAACGATTACCAGATATGACGGGCAGCAACCTGCTTTACCCAATTAAGCGAAGGTTGAAATTTTAGACAACTTTCGTTCCATTTCATTAAAATATATATATAACAAAAACCAGATATTTCGGACAGCAACCTGCTTTACCCAATTAAGTGAAGGTTGAATTTTTAGACAACTTTCGTTCCATTATATTTAATTATATATATAACGAAAACCAGATATTTTGGACAGCAACCTGTATTACCCAATTTAGTGAAGGTTAAAATATATCAATTTCTCTGCCTTGGTGGCCGAGTGGTCTAAGTAGTTACTACTGTAATCACTAGCCAGTCAACACTGAGGTTGTGAGGACGAACCCCGCTCGTGCGGGTGCACTAGTCTCCAATCTTAATTGACTAGGATTGTCGGTTTTCCTATCGAAGGTCGGTGGTTTTCTCCGAGTACTCTGGCTTCCTCCACCAATAAAAACTGGCCGCCACGAAATAGCCCAAAAGCGGTGCTTAAAAGTGGCGTTAAAACACAAAAAATAATCAAATCAATCAAGTTCACTACGTATGATGTTACTTGTTTAATTTATGTCACATGATTGTATGTTACTTGTTTAATTTATGTCGCATGATTGTATGTTACTTGTTTAATCTATGTCGCATGCTTGTATGTTACTTGTTTTAATTTATGTCGCATGATTGTATGTTACTTGTTTAATTTATGTCGCATGATTGTATATTACTTGACATGTTTAATTTATGTCGCATGATTGTATGTTTTTCTCTATTACGACTTTAATTATTAAGAAACTGAAATTTCTACTCCTGCAGACAAAGTTGACCTTAGACAAATTTGAGTATTGTGTTATGGTCCTTTTTGGTCTTATAACTCCGAACGCGTCAGCGTATAAACTCATTCCTGACTCTCAAATGTTAAGGTTTAAGAGTTCCTGATGAAGGTAATCCATACAAGTGTTTCGGACGTACGCAATTTATAAAGTATTGATTTCATTAGACAGTCGACATGGACAAACTAATGCGAAGCAAGTATTAGTTTGCATTAAACCTAGTACATTCTATCAAATTGAATTATGATTTCAACTCGTCAAAAAAAAAAAAGAATTCTCTGCATTTACTTTAGAATTGAATGCATCTTTATTGTGTAAAAAGTTGCCTGAAGCTTTGTATGAAGCGCGGAAGCAAGACCTACTAAAACTGTGCGCACGTTCAACGCTTTTACAACCCAACAACATTACAAAGAGAAGCATGCCATTCTTATAAGTCCATTTTTATGCTACAACCATGAAAATACAAGTTAAATCAAGTCTTTCGTTTGTTTGTTATGCCTAGTTTTAAGATTGACACAGAGAGCATGTGCAGTCATCGATGTTGCAATTATACGGAAATAAAAAATAACTTTAGAATGCTTTGGCCAATCAAAATTACACGCTCGTATGAAACTTCTATTAAATGTAATTATAGCATTTCATTGATTTATAACATTTTATTGATATGATATTTATGGACATAACTGACAGATATAGGTTATAGTAATGATATTTATCTATTATTTGCTGTTGACAATTTAACTTGAATTAAAATGCAGACAAAGTGTCATTTACAATGTGTTGGTTGAATTTTAATGATCTTTAATCAACCAATGGAAATTCATAAACATGATCAATATTGGAAGCCACGAACTGATGCCAAAAATACAATTGTATATTACCTAACGGTATACAGTTGTATATGTACTTAAATAAAAACTTTTTCCAAGGACAATGCATATAAAAATAAAGAAGGTGTGGTATGATTGCCAATGAGACAGCTTTCCACCAGAGACCGAATGACGTAGAAGTAAGCAACTATATGTCACCGTCCGACCTTCAACAATGCTCAGAAACCATATCACACAGCAAGCTATAAACGGCACCTACATGACAAATGTAAAACAATTTAAACGAGAAAACTGACGGCCTGATTCATGTACAAAATAATTAACGAAAAACAAATCTGATACACAGCAACAAACGACAAGCACTGAATTACAGACTCCTGATTTGGGACGTACACCTACATAATGTGGCTGTTTTGAACATGTTTGCTTTGATTGGTTGACTGATGTTTTGGTGTTTAACACCACTTTAAACACTTATGGTGGCTAGTTTTTATTGGTGGAGGAAGCCGGAGTGCCCGAAGAAAACCACAGACATTCAGTAGGAAACCTGGCAATCCCAGTAAAATAAGATTTGGAGTCGGCCTCACTTGCTACGTGCGGGAGTTAAAATCATAACTTCAGTGTTGACATGCTACTTATACAGTAAACGAACTGCTTAGACCACTCGTCTACAGAGACCCCTGTGATGAATACGGGAAATATTCTTAATTAAACAGAAAATCGTGTTGTCCTTTTGCGTGCGCTGATTTGAATGCCAAGTACGTTAAGTCAATGATTTAGTGGTCATCCTGACTGTAGCTGGACTGTTCATGTTTTTCATATGTGTTAATTTCACAGAATATGCTTTATATAGGAATATTGTGGACACTTAAAACTTGTTTAACCCGGTTAAATTTTGTGGTTGTACCAAATGAGGTTATCTGGCTCATGTGTGGCTCGTATTTTTATGACTCATGTGTTTATTATTGGTGCGTTCCAATATGTTTGGTAATTCATGTTATACTTTTTAATGTACTATTTAGCTCTGTTCCCTCAAGATACTGATGAGTTATTCTGAGCCCAGGAGTGAACTCATTAGAGCAGGGACTGCATAATACAATGCAGTTACAGTATTGGTCAGTAAAGCTCTAGACCTAAACTATTGGCCTTTTATTGGTTACTTTGCGGGAGGAGTTTTACTCATTGTTGAAGGCTGTACGGTGAACCAAAAGTGTTATCTTCTATGTCATTTGGTTTCTGATGGTCAATGGCAATCATAACATATCTTCTAATTTTTATAAGCTCTAATATATATGTCCACAAATTAATAATTAAATGCAAACGAGTTATTTATTTTATTCATTTATTTCTGAATTATAAGAATGCATACACAAGTACAATAAATTAACACGCAAATAAATTAAATTACAAGCACCATTGGAAAGCAGAAATCATTTATGCAGTTCCCGTTTTTAACACAGATCTCATTGTCAACAATGCCTCAGTTATATAAATAGATTAAATTAAATACGTCTTATCGATCAATCTGGAAGTACACTATGAAAATTAACTAATACATGTGTACTATAGCTGTTCTTGTTGTTTATATATAGCTATTTAAAGTCCTGATAGTTTGTTGGTTAATGAGAACTGGTAAAACAAGGCTTCTGTAAATGTCATTTTAAGAACTCGCAATCCATGACACACATTTGTTCTATCTGCGAAATGCATTCGAAAACGATAAACCAATTGTAATATGGCCATGGAAGTCTGTTTTAACATTCAAAACATATGGTAATTTCATATCATACGTGAACATGAGTCCGTGAGCAAACTATCTCTAATATCAAAGTGTGTGTCTTCATTTTCAAGTCTGATTTGTTTAAGTCCAAGTTTCTGTAGCATACTTGATATAAGTCCTGTTTGTGTGATGATTCTGTGAAGATCTTTTGATAACCAGTGACAGTCATTTTCGAAATCGTATCCGGCTTTGTAAAGCTTTTGACACATCGTAATGGATGGTTCACTTGACCTATGAACTGCCAAGTATAAAGCACTGTATCCAATATTATCCATAATGTTTACATCACATTCGTATCGAATTAAATGGTTGCATATTTTATCGTTACCTTCTCGCAGACCAACTAGTAATGCTGTCTTTCCGGTACACTCGATTTCATCCAAATCAGCACCTGCGAAAACAAAAATATCACTATAAATTGTAATTCAGATATGCATATGCTTTCCACAAAATATTTATTGTTATCATTATTATTATCATCATTATTAATCAATACTCATTTTATTACCTATAATGGTGGATGTCAAAATACTCGATCGCGTAAATAAAAATTTTAACTTGTTTATTAATTTAATGTGTACATGCAGTTTGCCATTTAATTGGCATGTGATGTATTACATTAACATAATATATTCAAACTAAGGCTTTAATAGTACGTCTAGTCCAGATATGAGCTGGTTCATTTGTGCTGTCGTTTCTTATCTAAATAGTTTTGGTATTATAGTTTTTACTCTTTTTATTTAAATGTTCTTTCTCCAGTATATACATTTCTTTTTATCGTTCGTTTACCAACAACTTTGACATAGTGACTTTCTTTCCCGTGTAAATGTGAAACAACTCAGAAATCATATTTACCTGATTTTATCAGAAGTTTTGCTGTATCAATATCCCCAAACAAAGTGGATCTGATGAGAGGCGTCTGACCAAGAAGATTCTTACAGTTGACATCACAATCTGAAATACAGTAGAATATTTAATAGACAGAGTTCAAGGATGCATGATGGAAAGATTTTCAAGTATACCGTTTGCGTTTTCAATTCAATTAAGTGCAAGTAAAACGTTTTTTTGGGGGATTTAAGAAGCTATTTTATATTGCTTATTTATATTGATATTCACTTACAGTTTGCAGGGGTGTGCTTTAATTATGATATTTGTCACTATCGAAAAATTTTAAACTATCATTTAGAAAAAAGACTTACCATAATCAATTAAAAGTTCCACAATGTCCATAAATGCGTTGTCGATTGCTTCATGTATCGGGAATGTTAATGTACTATCAGGAATATTAGGATCGGCGCCAAGTTCCAATAAATGACGAAGTAACTCCTTATTGCCATATTTTGCAGCAAAGTATAAAGATGTTCGTCCTTTGCTGTCTGTTGCATTTATATCTTTCTTCACTTGTTCACAAATAATGGGTGTTGAGTTCGACCTTCGATAACATCGTGCCCTGTTCATGAGGACGTCGTCCTTTTCTTGTACACAATCCTCCTGTAAAGAACGAAAACTCATTTTGAAGATGATGTTTTCTTTGAATGCTTCTTTCCGATCGATTAGAAAGTTGTAACGAATCCGTTTAATGCTCTGGTTTATATACTACTTGAAGATATCAAACATGCAACCGCAAATTATATATGCAAATTAGGCTTGTACTTGTCACGATGTCAAATTTACGGTAGTTCATTCAGGAAGTCGGTCTTGAAATTTTGATTAATTTTGTCAACATTTCCCGCCAGATTAGTCTTGTTTACAAGAAATGTTTGATTAACTGTCAATACTGAATGATTAGCAAGATATTTATGAGGTTCGAAATTATCCAATCAAATGGATGATAAAATAAAAATCATCCAATAAAGTCACTGAGAAAGAGAACATGCCAAGGACATTACAATTAGTTTTCAATATTTAGATATGTGATAGATCGATCATAAATCTTAAAGAACTTAAATATTTAATACTAATAAATAATTTTAAAATGTTTGATAAACTATCAAGATTCTGAAAAAGAGACGTTTTTATTATCATTTAATAATGAATAGGCAGGTGTTTCCTGTGAATGAGGACGAATTTCGTATTTTTTAATGATACTGGTACAATGTACAGGAAACAAGGCTTACATTTGCAGAAAATCATATGTTTTACAACATAGCAGCATCCATCAGTAGGAAAACGCACGTATGCAAATGTTGTAAACAAAAGTGAACGATTTTGGTATAAATTCATTTTTTTTTTATAAATTTTGATATTTCAATAATCAACCTATTTCAAACAGAGCTAATTCGGCATAATTATAAAAGCTAAAAAACATTCTAGATTGATAGTATACGAAGCTAATTGAACAATTTAGACTTTCTCTGAACGGGAGGGCAGTACGTGATAACAAATATGCATATATCTCTGAAGGAGCTGCGATTGTACCTGTATATAAAGGTTCGACATTATCTAAATGCGTTGTATAAAAACAACATATTTCATATGCAACGTAACCAATAGTTAGTTGATATACCATTGTGCATAAGATGTGCAAACAAAGCATCAACTATGTGACGTCGTCAATGACTATGTACAGTTTGTTAAGTTTGGCTATATACTAAATTGGTTATTGCAAGAATATTGATGATTAATAGCCCTCGTACAACATGTACAATATATCTTGAACTCGTAAGCTTGTGTAATTTAGAAAATCTAGTCAGGACAATAGTCACCAATAGTCATGCAATAAGCCTATAATACATGCTTAAATCAAAGGTTAGCGGTCTACGACCTGCGGTCAGATCACATATGAACAACCATTACGAGGAAGGTTATGGTCAAAATTAATACTATAGTTTCCTTTTGTAGAATGAGTCTACACAAATACAATCATTTTTTTTTATCTCTTGATTGTCAAATCATCTTTTACAATACTGTGGTTATTTTTGATTGCTTTTTATTTTCTCATAAAAGGTTTGTGACATTGACTTGATAACGATCAGATATTATTACACCGACATAAATGTGCACAACTCTACAATTTACATATTCATTACATGCTTGATTGATTGTTGTTAGCTGTACATGCAATGTCCAATATGTTATACTTAATCTGGTCTGGAGGACAATAAATATATAAGTGTACTCTGCAAAATATGCTAACCACGGGACGGGGAATTTAGACTACAACTGAAAATTGCGGATCTGTTCGATAGGACAGAAATTGTGCCTTTTGAAAAATCTGTATGTACGAAACCTGTTAACGAACGGAGATTTATACACCGACAAAAATGTGCACAACTCGGTTTAACTATTAGATTTAATTTATTGGAAGATATGTTTTATTTACACATTTATTCAAAAATATTATAAAATGTTGCTCTGGGTTCTAGTTCTTGATTATGAACGAACTTCTGTCGTATAAAATACCATGCAGGTTAAACAAAGTGATACAAAATCTGCCACCACAGACTATATCTAAATGTTGACTGCAAAAACACAATGGTTTGTATATTACGGAAGAATGTACATGGGTGGAAAATTCAAAATTGTACTCTTCATGCCACGGATCTCTTTCTTGTAAAGAAGCTGCTGTAAAAGATTCTTGAAATTCCGTGAAGATTTGAGAAAGGTTATTGACATTTTGAAAACTTTAACCCTAGACAATCTTAATGTGTATTAAACAAAAATAAGTGTGATCATTAGTAAGATACAGAAACATCAAAAATGAAACACTTTTCTTTAGTTGACATTTATTGGTCATGGAGACACTTCTGTCCTTGTTTCGTAAAATTCTATAAAGTCATTGATGTTTGAAATAGACAATCTTAATGTGTATTAAACAAAAATAAGTGTGATCATAAGTAAGATACAGAAACATCAAAAATGAAACACTTTTCTTTAGTTGACATTTATTGGTCATGGAGACACTTCTGTCCTTGTTTCGTAAAATTCTATAAAGTCATTGATGTTTGAAAAACTTTAAAGCAAGACTATGTTTGAAACTGCAAGATTCATTTTGTACCTTTGCATTTCAATATCGGATTTTGGACACCATTGGTTAGAGAATATAATTTTCAAAATGTGCATGTGGTACGAGAACATCAAGTTTGATATTTTCTTATATTTCATTCCAGTACACAATAAACATATTTGTTAAAATAAGTTATTTTTTTAGAAATTCATATTTATCTTACTGCAGTTTTAGTTACATGCTTAAATGTGAAAAAAAAAAAAAAAAAAAAAAAAAAAAAAAAAAAACTGTACACTCTGCCTTGATTGTATAATCTAAAAAAGGAAATAAAAAAAAAAACTTGGGAATTCCGTGTATGTAAATTCAAAATTCATCTACAAAATTCTGTTCATCAAACTAATTCCTGCTGTGAAGACTAATAAACAAGTGTTTGACTAAATGATTTATCAATACTTTCTTAATATGATAATATTCTGGCTATTTAGCTGATGAAACCTAGAATATGGCGTTTGTCCTATAACTGTATTAGGGTCATAGCTTTACATCAAGTACAATGTTCTCTGAACTTTATTCAAGTAGACCAAAGAACTTAGTACTAGATAAACCGAATGTCAATTGTATCCCATAAATCAACAAATCCATTACATGCTGGAAAATGAACACATATCAAACTAATAACTATTCAATGGCATATATAAATAGATGCAAAAATGAGATATCATAATTATGTAATAATGTGCACCAAACCTCAGAATTAAAAATGTTTTGATTATGATAAATACTGGCCGTCCCTTTCTTTTTCAATATACTAAACGGCAGTCATGTGTACTTATTAACACTGTAAATTATGCATGTAGTTCACTATTGAATGGCAATCTGAAAGAAGGTCAGAACAAATCAGGTTCAAGGTTAATAAAATACTAGTATATGACTACCTATTGCAATAAACAATTTATCGATTTGGCGTCGCTTAAACTAAAGTTCACTAAAAGAACACTTCTACATAAACTATATATGCATACATCTCTGAAGGAATTGGTATTTTAACTGCATATTAAAGGTTCGATATTGTTTGATATTCATCGTATTATGTATAGCAACAACATATTTCCTACCCAACGATAAATTAGTGTGAGATAATATATGCTATCGCACTAGTGAAAACAAAGCCTAAAATATGTGACGTCATTGATGACAAATTTGTTTAAAAGTTTGTCAAGCTTTGCTATGTAATAAAATGGTTATCGCATGCAAATTGGTGAATATTACCCCACATAGAATATATCCTAAACTCGCAAACTCAGGTAATATAAAAAATCTAGTCGGGACAATATTCACCTAAATTCATGCAGCCCTCAACTATACATGCTTAATCTTAGATACATGATTTCTTTTTATAAGTTGTTTTTGGCTTTGAACTAGATGTCAGTAACTGCGAATACTCTCAGATCTGTACATTGTTTCTTTTTTGATATTAAGGATGTATAAATACCCTGCCACGTACGGTCTGTGTTTTTGTGGTTTTGCTTTGTATGGATCTGATGAGTGAAACCCTTTTCATCTGATTTTTTATAGTTTGTTCTTATTTTGTGTTGTACCACAACTGTCTCAGGTTAAAAGAAGGGTTAATCGCTCAGAAACATGATTAACCCCGCCATATTCTTTATGTGCCTGTCCCAAGTCAGGATCATGTAGTCTAGTGGTTGTCGTTGGTTTATGTCTGTCATATTTTTTTTTGGTAAATTGTTTTGTTATAAATTAGGCAGTGGCAAATATTTCATGCATAATCAAGAGTAGAAAACATACCAACATTTATAAAAAAGGGGTTGCAAAGTGGATCGACCACGATAAAGGCGGGGAAATGCCGACTGCAACTTAAAATTGAGGATTATTTGATGGAAAAGAAATGGTGCTATTGCCAAGGGCTACATACTGACCCATCAAAATAGTATTTCTACATGTGTCAAAGTTTTTATATTTTGATACACAAGGCATTGGATTTAATGTGCCTATTTTGGCATGACATTCATGTAGCTGCATATTTATACATGCCAAACAACCAAACGGACACCCCTAGCCAGTGACTCGTATCCCTTAGACGTAGAAACTGGTTACAATTTCTTAATCCCGGAAGATATGCATTCTATGCATAATCATGATAATGTAGCCATATTTTTCATTCAACACATTATTTTAGTAATTTTCATACCAAAGATTGATTGATTGATTGTTGGTTGCTTAACGTCCAATATTTCATGCATGTTCATACCAAAGACCGTTTTTATCTGTACAAGATGTTAGTTGGGTTATTTGGATCGTTAGGTTGTTGATGTTTATTGATGTTTATTCATAATCTTCGGTCATAACAAGAAAACAATTACTCTGAGATTTATTTCAATTAGACGAACAAACTGAGTATTTAGATAACCGATTGTCAATTGTAATCCATAAATCACCAAAAACATTACATGCTGGGAGATAAGCATATATCAAACTAGATAAATAACTATTCAATGACATAAATAAGTAGATGCAAATACTAGGTACTATAATTATGTAATACATTGCATCAAAATTAACAATGTTTAAATTATTGCTAGTCATTTCTCTTTTTCCCCTCCAATACTAAAATTGAGAATGGAAATGGTGAATGTGCCAAAGAGACAAGAATCCGACCAAAGAGCAGAAAACAGCCCACGGCCACCAATGGGTCTTCAACACAGCGAGAAAATCCCGCACTCAACCAGGCGGGCTTCAGCTGGCCCCTAAACAAAAATGTGTACTAGTTCAATGAAAATGGACGTGACACTAAACTTCAAAACATATAAATGAACTAAAATTAAAAAGCATACAAGACTAACAAAGGCCAGAGGCTCCGGACTTTGGAAAGGCGCAAAAATGCGGCGGGGTTAAACGTGTTTTGTGAGATCTGAACCCCCTACCTATAGCCAATGTAGAATAAACAAACACACAGCAATACGCACAGTAAAACGCAGAGTCCGATGTCAGAATAGGTAACAAAAGAAACTAAGCAAAATGACAATGATACATAAATTAACTAAGGACTACTAGCAGTTACTGACATGCCAGCTCCAGACCTCAATTAAACTGATTTAGTATACTAAACGGTTGGCATGTGTACTTATTAACACCTTATAATTATGTATTTAGTTCACTTTTGAATGGCAATCTGGATTTATAACAGTACAATGTTAATAAATATAAAAATGACTACCGGTTCCAATATCAGTTAAATTATGTGACCTCGTGTTCGAATTTGTAAATAATTGTACTTGTCTCTATGACACACATTTCATATGCGGCGCAAAGAACAGGACATACTTTTAGTCTGACTTTGGAATCGTATTTTTATGTTCCTTGGTTCATCAATTCTGAATGTGTCTTCCGACAAATTCGAAGGAATGGGAAAGCATCATCAAGCATATCCCTTTTGATGCACTTGACAAGATGTATTTAGAAAACCGATTGTCAATTGTAATCCATAAATCACCAAAAACATTACATGCTGGGAGATAAGCATATGACACACATTTCATATGCGGCGCAAAGAAAAGGACATACTTTTAGTCTGACTTTGGAATCGTATTTTTATGTTCCTTGGTTCATCAATTCTGAATGTGTCTTCCGACAAATTCGAAGGAATGGGAAAGCATCATCAAGCATATCCCTTTTGATGCACTTGACCTCCCTTAAATTAAGTTTAGAACTACCATGTGGTGTTAGAATCCATCGTTCTAAGTCTGATTTAATGAAGCCACTATTGAAGTTTTGCAATCTTGAATGGTTTATGACCGTAAATGGTCGATATAGATTTCTTTTGCTGATATCTGCAAAAAATAAAACTGCCAGGAAAATTTTTATGTTAGTGGTATTGCAATAGGACAATTGCCGATTAACGAATTCTAAAAGGAGCAAATTCAAATTGTTTATGTAGTATCGAAAATGTGTACATTGAAAGTTAACTAATTGTACATTAAATTTTCTCTGAAGAGGGATGGCGGTTATAAAGAAACTAAGGTTTCAACTCCCTCAGGCAAAGTTGACCTTAGATGGATTTGGCTATTTGTTTTAGGAATTTTTGTCATATAGCTCTTCAACTGTTTCGGTACTTATACATCCCTCGGGTTTCAAATGTTTGGCTTTGAGCGTTCCTGATGAAGGTAAATCCAGAAAAGCGCTTCGGACGCATGCAATTATTAAACGTGTTGTTTTCAATTTTTTATAATACATATGCATACATCTCTGATAGAGTTGCCATTATAACTGTACATAAAAAGGTTTGAATGTTTTTTTTTACTTTGGTGAAGCAATAACATATTTAGTACACAACGTAACCAAAGATAGCGTTCAATTATATATATGAAATTGCATAACTGGAAATAAAACTTCAAATACTAGTAAAGGACGTCATCAATGACAATGCCAAATTTGTTTAAAACAGTTTTTCAAGCTTTGCTCTACAATACAATAGGTATTGCATGAATATTATTGAATGGATCCTTGTCAAAGAGGGATGAAAGATACCAGAGGGACAGTCAAACTCATAGATCGAAAACAAACTGACAACGCCATGTCCAAAAATTAAAAGACAAACAGACAAATAATAGTGCAGATGACACAACATAGAAAATTAAAGACTAAGCAACACGAACCCCAACAAAAACTGGGGATGATCTCAGGTGCTCCGGAAGGGTAAGCAGATCCTGCTCCACATGTGGCACCCGTCGTGTTACTTATGTTATTACAAATCCGGTAAATAGTCTAATTCGGTAGGTCACATTCGTGAAAAGGGAAGGGTATTGTAGATACGACATAAGGAACATATCCGATATCATCTGTGAAACGGTTATTCCGTAACGGTCAACCAACTCGTGATGGCGTCCGTTAAATTTACGAAGGGATGATTTCAACTTCACCAATTGGAACTCTTGGTTTAATAGCTTCCTTGTGAGCAGCAATCCTCTATCAAGGAAATCATGATAGGAAATACATGCCCGGGAATATCGTATCAATTGGGAGATATATACTCCGTATGCAGGCGCTGCTGGAATATTACTACATAGAAATAGAAAGTTCGCAATTGGGAAGCTGAAATCATCTCTTTTTTCAATCATCAAGTTTTGTTTTCAACCGACCCTCATTGTCAATTTCTAGATGTAAGTCAAGATATGAGGCAGACTTAACTGTATCTGTAGTATCCTTTATCTCTAGTTCGATGGGATAGATTCGTACAACATAGTCACCAAATTTTGTATTATTTAGTGAC